TTTAGCTCTGTTCAGCCTCCTTTTCCCAGCTGCCTTCCCTAGGTCACAGCTGCCTCTCCCAGGAGGTCACAGCTGCCTCTCCCAGGAGGTCACAGTAGACAATAACGCCTCAACCCACACAGGCGACACGCTTCCAACACCGCACTTGTTTTGCTTCTCACTGTCCTCTCCCACCACCTTCCTCAGACTTCTGTTGTTGCTGACGTAACGTCACCCTACGTGAAGGGTGAGTACATGATGTCACCCTACGTGAAGGGTGAGTACATGATGTCACCCTACGTGAAGGGTGAGGACATGACGTCACTCTACGTGGAGGGTGAGATCATGACGTCACCCTACGTGAAGGGTGAGTACATGATGTCACCCTACGTGGAGGGTGAGTACGTGACGTCACCCTATGTGAAGGGTGAGTACGTGACGTCACCCTATGTGGAGGGTGAGTACATGATTTCACCCTACGTGAAGGGTGAGGACATGACGTCACTCTACGTGGAGGGTGAGATCATGACGTCACCCTACGTGGAGGATGAGGTCACTCTACCCATAACTACCTCACCCTACATGAAGGGTCGTTAGATGGTAAACATAAACTAGTGCTTGCTAGATATAACAATAAAACTAAAGACTTTTTCAATGGCCATTACTGGAATTATGAGTATTTAAGCTGATCACGTCTATAAACAGTGACTGATCCGTGGATTAACCAGCTACTAGTACTTCTACACTAGTTAAAAATAACCACAACTAGTAAAGTATTACAATATACAAATAATAGGAGTAATAATGACATATTACTCTAACAAGCGATCTGATCGTTAATGGGTTCATAATATCCGAGTTACTGGGATCGTCCCCAGGCGTTCTTAGAGCTAAATCCGCATTCATCGACTTCAAAGGTCTCGGCTGATCCAATATTTTGCATCAGAAAAATCTATCAAAGAAAACGTTTTAAAGATCATTTTTTTTTTCTTCAAAAATTGAATGGTAGTTTATTTGTCTACTTTTTTTTTTTTTTTTTTTTTTTTTGCATCTGTTGGAGAACTTAATTTGCATATTGATATGGAGAAGCGTTGGATATTTAATACATAAATTGTTACTGCTAATTTATTCCTTGTTTCAAATATTCTGTTTTTGTCGTAACATTAATTTAATTATGGTAATGTTTGGATATATTTTTTATTATTTTGGGCGTTGAGAGGTTATGTTTTTGTCTGTTTTTTTGTATTTTTGTTTTGTTAAATATTAATATTTTATTGTTATTATATGAGTGTTTTAATTACTGCGAGGATCTATGGCGTTTTTGTAATTATTTATAACGGTTCTGGAGGTTATCTGGAGATGATTTCGGGGCTTTAGTGTCCCCGCGGCCCGGTCCTCGACCAGACCTCCACCCCCAGGAAGCAGCCCGTGACAGCTGACTAACACCCAGGTACCTATTTTACTGCTAAGTAACAGGGGCATAGGGTGAAAGAAACTCTGCCCATTGTTTCTCGCCGGCGCCTGGGATCGAACCCAGGACCACAGGATCACAAGTCCAGCGTGCTGTCCGCTTGGCCGACCGGCGAATAGAGTCTTGTGTACGTGTATGTGTTCACTATTTGTGCCTGCAGGATCCAGCTGCTAGCTCTTGAGCCCCGCCTTCCTAACTGTCTTTTGTCTAACATATCCAATCCCGATTGATTGAGATTAAGCCAACCAGGAGGTGGCACGGGCATGAATAGCCCGTAAACACCCAATCCCGACCAACAACACCCAATCCCGACCAACCACTGTCCTTACAACAACCTGTATTAACATGTAAAACACAACTTCACTATTGCTCGTTAAAGTCTATAATTTAGCAAATTTAATAATGATGAGGATAACTATCTTTGGATATTTTAAAAAATAATAATTGATTGTGTCACTATAGTGCGCAGTTCTGCTTAATTTTGGTAAGTGCTTGGTAAGAGGGAAGGGGGGAGGGGGTGAGAGAGAGAGAGAGAGAGAGAGAGAGAGAGAGAGAGAGAGAGAGAGAGAGAGAGAGAGAGAGAACCAGACTGAGAGAAGCAAGAATCAGAAAGATAAATATATTCATAATTAGTCGAAAGTAAATAGACATAAATCTATGTAAATAGATAACATTTCACACATTACTTCCTCATTAAGAGAGCCGCTGGAGCAGCACAGCACGATCCTCCAGCGCACTAAATTATAAATTCCCACTTGACCAATTGTGGGAAAAGTCGGGCCTTTTCTCCCCACATATTATGCACTCTGGGGCGAGTGGCACTCATGGCACAGTCACCCTCGCGCCGCCCAATAGTGCCACCAACATTTCCTCCTCACTATTCCCACCAGTACAGAAATAAGGAGACAGGAAACCTTTGGACAAAGAGCGTATCTGTGTGCGCGTAAAGTGTGTTGACAAAGTTGATTTTTTATATATTCACATACTTATATACGTATATAAGAGTGTGGATATGTATTTATATACATGTGTGTATACACACTACTCTGCAAATCCCTTAAACAGTGTTCTAAAGGTTGCATATGTGGCGTGAAGTGCGGCCATTATCCGGCCAAACTTACCCACTATCTTATAGTTTGCTCAACTAACACTGTCGCCGCCTCAAAATTAGTTTATATAATGTAGGATTTTTTTTAGCATAGTTGTGCAGTTGACAACATTTGCTGTGGTGGTGACGGTCCGCTGCTGTGGTGGTGGTGACGGTCCGCTGCTGTGGTGGTGGTGGTGACGGTCCGCTGCTGTGGTGGTGGTGACGGTCCGCTGCTGTGGTGGTGGTGGTGACGGTCCGCTGCTGTGGTGGTGGTGACGGTCCGCTGCTGTGGTGGTGGTGGTGACGGTCCGCTGCTGTGGTGGTGGTGGTGACGGTCCGCTGCTGTGGTGGTGGTGGTGACGGTCCGCTGCTGTGGTGGTGGTGGTGACGGTCCGCTGCTGTGGTGGTGGTGACGGTCCGCTGCTGTGGTGGTGGTGACGGTCCGCTGCTGTGGTGGTGGTGGTGACGGTCCGCTGCTGTGGTGGTGGTGACGGTCCGCTGCTGTGGTGGTGGTGGTGACGGTCCGCTGCTGTGGTGGTGGTGGTGACGGTCCGCTGCTGTGGTGGTGGTGACGGTCCGCTGCTGTGGTGGTGGTGGTGACGGTCCGCTGCTGTGGTGGTGGTGGTGACAGTCCGCTGCTGTAGTGGTGGTGGTGACGGTCCGCTGCTGTGGTGGTGGTGGTGACAGTCCGCTGCTGTAGTGGTGGTGGTGACGGTCCGCTGTTGTGGTGGTGACGGATATAAATGGAACCAAATATTATAGTACCCCCCACCTCCAAAAGCATCAACAGCCCCCCCCTCCCCCCTCCTCCGCCCCCAACAGCCCGCCCGCGATGAAGACGAGGGCCTCCCGTTGTCGCTGTGATATTCCTTCTAGGATGCTTCACTGGTCCTTCTCCTGCTCGACAGTTCTCTGTCAGAGACGCGCGGAGAATGGCGCCTACTTCCATCAAAGACAATTTGCTAATTGCATTTGATAACCTGATGTCTGCTGTCATCTTGGCGTCCAGGAAACATTATCTCCTTAAACTGAAGTCTCCCTGTGGCGTCCAGGAAATATTATCTCCTTAAACTGATGTCTCCCTGGAGTCCAGGAAACATTACCCCTTAACGTAATGTCCCTGTGGCGTCCAGGAAACATTACCCCTTAAAGTAATGTCTCTGTGGCGTCCAAGATTAATGTCTGTCTGTCCGAGGTTGAAGCCAGATGCTCGAGGCTAGTGTGACCCAGCTTTACACTGTGAATCCTGAGGGGTCAGTGCCCAACATCGTCGTTGAATCCCTCTGGCTGCTGCCGCTTTACATTATCTCTCCTATATTTCTCTTCCTTCCATTTAATCAACTATCTTATTCATTTCTCTTTGTTCCCTTCTTCCCTCTGACTCTACTCTCACTCAACCTCCATTTGCTCTTCCTCCCTCCCTCCCTTTGCTCCCTCGCTCTCTCCCTCCCTCCCTCCTCCACTATCCCAAGTCGCTAAGCTTCCTCCACTCTCCCTGGCCGGCGCCCTAACGGTGCTGACGTGATTAAGAGAAGCGGCCATGATTAAGGACCAATACCAGCCTCCCGCATGTCCCATATGGGTTCGCCGCTCAATTGACGCCAGGCCGGATTGGTGACGCAATATGTCGGAGTCCGGACGGCAATTATCCGCATAGCTCCGGTCTTCCACAGTGTGGTTGTGGCGTGGGCAGGTATGCAGGGGTGGGGGCAGGCGTGAGTAGTGTAAAGTAGGCCAGAAGCCTACACTCAAAACAATTAAAACTGCAGGATTCTGGTCTACTTAACACTACTGGTATGCAGGGGCGTGGGAGTATGCAGGGGCGTGGGCAGGTATGCAGGGGTGGGGGCAGGCGTGAGTAGTGTAAAGTAGGCCAGAAGCCTACACTCAAAGAAATTAAAACTGCAGGATTCTGGTCTACTTAACACTACTGATATGCAGGGGCGTGGGAGTATGCAGGAGCATGGGCAGGTATGCTGGGGCATCGACCTGCTACCAAATCAAGGTTTCACCCGTTACCCGCTTACATGCTCGTGTGCCTAGGAATTCCATGCCCCAATGCTCACTTGAAATGCATGAAGAACTCCTAGAGGATTTAGTTCATTCCCAGCTTACATCACTTTTGTAGAGTGTCTTGGCCAAGTGGCTTAAGGTGTGTGCTTGCACCCAGGATGCAAGTTCGAATCGTCTTCATGGCTCCAACTGATTTTTTCATTGATACATCATGATAATGTGATTTCTGTATGCATTATAGTCTCTATCATCCTCCAAGTAGAGTTAAGAGCGTATGGATGAAGACCCGTACCATACACCTATAGGCCTACGTGAGGCATCACCTATTTATATACTCCGAAATTAATTTATATATATCTTCCCTTCTTAAGAGCTTTAATAAACCTACGCTTGAAACAATCAAGCATCCCGTTGCCTACACCACTATGATGCCACTCGTGTCCTCAGCCTGGGTGCTGGGCCTCTTCGTGTGCAAGGCCATGTCCTATCTACAAGGGGTGAGTGTGTCCGCCTCTATCAACACGCTGGTGGCCATCTCGGTGGACCGAGCGCTGGCCATCTGTTACCCCATGAGATGCCAGATCACCTCCCGCACCTGCCGCAGCATCATCGTCGTCATCTGGGCCTTCTCTCTCACCATCACCCTCCCCTGGGCCATCTTCTTCAAGCTAGAACCCATCCCGGATACCGACCTCCACGTGAGTCTATCACCTGTCTTCTCTCCTCAATGTCGCTTCATATAAAGATATTTTAAAACTTTTATCATTTTGTTGACCAGACCACACACTAGAAGTTGAAGGGACGACGACGTTTCAATCGACTTGAGAATGGTCCAGGACGGACCGAAACGTCGTCGTCCCTTCAACTTCTAGTGTGTGGTCTGGTCAACATACTTCAGCCACGTTATTGTGACTCATCGCCTGTTTATCATTTTGTATTTATTTTGGGATAAATTATTTATTATTGTTATTAATTATAACTGGGTTAATTACTGTAATTTTGAAAACGTAATTTTATCTTATGTATAGGTTACATTTTAATTTATGACCAGTGATACTGAATATTGTGACTACACATGATACTAACTATATGTAATCTCCGCTATGTACAGTGTTCCTCCGGGCTACACATGATGCTACCTATATGTAATCTCCGCTATGTACAGTGTTCCTCCGGGCTACACATGATGCTACCTATATGTAATCTCCGCTATGTACAGTGTTCCTCCGGGCTACACATGATGCTACCTATATGTAATCTCCGCTATGTACAGTGTTCCTCCGGGCTACACATGATGCTACCTATATGTAATCTCCGCTATGTACAGTGTTCATCCGGGCTACACATGATGCTACCTATATGTAATCTCCGCTATGTACAGTGTTCATCCGGGCTACACATGATGCTACCTATATGTAATCTCCGCTATGTACAGTGTTCCTCCGGGCTACACATGATGCTACCTATATGTAATCTCCGCTATGTACAGTGTTCATCCGGGCTACACATGATGCTAACTATATGTAATCTCCGCTATGTACAGTGTTCATCCGGGCTACACATGATGCTACCTATATGTAATCTCCGCTATGTACAGTGTTCATCCGGGCTACACATGATGCTAACTATATGTAATCTCCGCTATGTACAGTGTTCGTCCGGGCCACCATCCTCACTACTCTACAACATTGTGTAAATTATCACTACACAACATCTTCGTGGTTTGTTGTTGTTTAAGATTCAGCTGATGGGAAGAAAAGTTGCAAGTAGCACGGGCTATGGTGAGCCCGTAGTGTACTTACCTGGTACAGGAGCGGTGCTGTAACTGTATGTCTCAAGATTCCTGTACTGTATTACTCACAAGCACTACCCCTTACCTGCTCCTACCTCAGCCTCCTGCCTCCCCTTACCTGCTGCTACCTCAGCCTCCTGCCTCCCCTCACCTGCTGCTACCTCAGCCTCCTGCCCCCCCTCACCTGCTGCTACCTCAGCCTCCTGCCCCCCCCCCCTCACCTGCCCCTACCTCAGCCTCCTGCCCCCCCCCTCACCTGCTGCTACCTCAGCCTCACCCATTACTCTCGTCAACACACACTACAACACAGGGCTTGAAAATTACTCCAGAAGCTTTTTTTCCCCTGGTTGAACTCCCTACGTAAACGTCATTATCTATGTTGTCATAGTTTGGTTCTTTACGGCACATGACCCGTCTCTCTCTCTCTCTCTCTCTCTCTCTCTCTCTCTCTCTCTCTCTCTCTCTCTCTCTCTCTCTCTCTCTCTCTCTCTCTCTCTCTCTCTCTCTCTCTGTCTCTCTCTCTCTCTCTCTCTCTCTCTCTCTCTCTCTCTCTCTCTCTCTCTCTCTCTCTCTCTCTCTCTCTCTCTCTCTCTCTGTCTGTCTGTCTGTCTCTCTCTCTCTCTCTCTCTCTCTCTCTCTCTCTCTCTCTCTCTCTCTCTCTCTCTCTCTCTCTCTCTCTCTCTCTCTCTCTCTCTCTCTCTCTCTCTCTCTGTCTCTCTGTCTCTCTGTCTGTCTCTCTCTCTCTCGCTCTCAGAAAAAATTGAATATATATAAACAGGTCTAACACCACTGGGAAATAAGAAGATGGGTAATGTCATAAGGGTTAACACTGACGCTAAGTAGACAAACAAACAAATAAGCAAGCAAGCAAGCAAGCAAGCAAGCAAGCAAGCAAGGAAGCAAGCCAACAAGCATACAGGTTAAAGGTTCACATCATGGGAGGACAGGTCACGCCAAACAGGAACAAGAGTGTGACTCTGGTAGAGACATATAACAAAGGGTTGAATATAAGGGGTCAGATTCACGAAGCAGTTACGCAAATACTTACGAACCTGTACATCTTTTCTCAATCTTTGGCGGCTTTGTTTACAATTATTAAACAGTTAATGAGCGCCGAAGTACCAGGAGGCTGTTTATAACAATAACAACAGTTGATTTGGCAAGTTTCCATGCTTGTAAACTGTTTAATAAATGTAAACAAAGCCGCTAAAGATTGAGAAAAGATGTACACGTTCGTAAGTACTTGCGTAACTGCTTCGTGAAGGCGGGTCAAGGTGAATAGTGTGTAAGCTTAGGGGGGTGAGACTTTACAGTTTATGGGAAGGTTTCACACCTCCTTAACACCTCCTTAAGTAATCAAACATAGACTGTGGCTGCTCTACACAAGCAGATACTTATACTTTACATTACTTACCATATTAGCAGTGGAAATATTAATATTCTTTCACAAGATAATTATATTATTATTAGTAGTAGTAATATTAGTATTATTATTCCAAATCTTCTTTTTCTTTAAATAAAACAAAGTTATTGATGATAAAAAGTAATAATCATAAAAAATAATTTAATTATATTGATTAATGATAATTTATATTAGCATAAGTATTACCCTAATTACCTCTATCGCCTCTAACAGCATAGTTCGCCCTCGTCATGTTCAATGGAAACATTATAAAATATTCCTGTTTAAACAAAAATTAATTGGAGGAAAGTTTAATAGACTTTCAAAATCTCATCTCAAAGATTAATCGTATTTTAATTTTCTTTCTTCGAAGCATTGACGCGCAGATCAAAAATTGTTATGATGGGAACATTTTGTGGGATTTTGTTCATTTTTGAACATTTATTTTTCACTTGAAGTCTTTTGATTATTATTCACGTGTAAGAAAATTTTGAGAGATGGGCTTCAGGTGTGATGATGATGATAGATAGTGGTGGTGAGTGTGGTGGTGAGTGGTGAGTGTGGTGAGTGATGGTGAGTGTGGTGAGTGTGGTGGTGAGTGGTGAGTGTGGTGACAGTACAGGTGTGAGGAACAGCTTACGGGTGTATAGAACACCTTTCAGGTGTGTAGAAGTTCACAGGTTTGTGAATCAGTTTACAAGTGTGTAGAGGATCACAGGTTTGTGAATCAGTTTACAAGTGTGTAGAGGATCACAGGTGTGTGTAGAGGAGCACACAGGTATGTAGAGGGGAGTACTAAGACTGTCGTATCCCCCCTCCCTGACAGGTGTGTACAGACAAGTGGCCGGATCCCCACAGTGGCAACATGTACTTCGTGCTAGCCAACATGGTCATGTGCTACCTCCTGCCTCTCACTGTCATCTCCGTCTGCTACATTCTCATCTGGTGCAAGGTAACTGTTGCTACCCGCATGCTCTATTGTATGGTGCCTCTATGTTGTGTGGTGCCTCTATCTTGTGTGGTGCCTCTATCTTGTGTGGTGCCTCTATCTTATATGGTGCCTCTATCTTGTGTGGTGCCTCTATCTTATATGGTGCCTCTATCTTGTGTGGTGCCTCTATCTTGTATGGTGCCTCTATCTTGTGTGGTGCCTCTATGTTCTATGGTGCCTTTATCTTGTATGGTGCCTCTATGTTCTATGGTGCCTCTATCTTGTATTGTTGTATGGTGTATGGTGTTTTGTGTAGTTGTATGGTATATGTCATCTCCCCATAGTCACCCGCCTCCAGGTGTGTGGCTAACCAGCGTGTCCAAGCACACACCAGTGTTGCAGGTGTGTAACTGAGCATCATGACCAAGCACACACACCTGTTGTTGCAGGTGTGGCGGCGTAAGCTCCCGGGAGAGCAGCAGGACGTGGGTGTAGCCATGATGATCCACAGGTCTAAGATCAAGGTAATTAAGATGCTGCTGGTGGTGGTGATTCTCTTCGCGCTCTCTTGGCTCCCTCTCTACGCCATCTTCGCCAGGCTCAAGGTGCGTAGAGGGAACCCCAAGGTGGGAGAGATGGTGGGAGGGAAGATGGGAGGGAGGGATGGTGGGAGGGAAGCCTTACTCTTAGACTTTAATGGTTCAGATGCATGTTGTTCAAGGACCCCGTTTCATTAACTCTCGTATTGACATATTCAGAGGCAGAGGGACAGTGTATGTTAGTGCGCAGGAGTTAGTGCACGTGTTAGGGTAAGAGTTAGTGCACGTGTTAGGGTAAGAGTTAGTGCACGTACTGGTAAAGACTGATGCTGGATACGATGCCAACATTCTTGTAACTGATGTGAGAGAATTTATACATGTGATATGATTTAGTTGATATTATTGTCTTTAATTATTTTGGCTTTGATGTCTCGCTCTCTGTCTCTCTCTGTCTCTCTCTCTCTCTCTCTCTCTCTCTCTCTCTCTCTCTCTCTCTCTCTCTCTCTCTCTCTCTCTCTCTCTCTCTCTCTCTCTCTCTCTCTCCTGCAGCTGGGGGTGGTGCTGACGGAGATGGAGACGCAGGTCATCCACGTGCTGGCGCCCATCGCCCAGTGGCTGGGAGCCTCCAACTCCTGCATCAACCCCATCCTCTACGCCTTCTTCAACGACAAGTTCCGCTCCGGCTTCAAGGTGAAGGAGGTCGTGGGGCGGTTGTGGTGGTGGGGGGGGGGGAGGGTGATGGGATGGGGGGGAGGGTGAGGGGGGAAGGAATATATTAGATCACGCACAACGGCAGCTGACTTAACGGGCTATTCATGCCCGTGCCACTTCTTGGGTGGCTTAATCTTCATCAATCAGTCAGCTGACTTAATAAGGTGAGCATCTTGGGCCTAAAAGACCTCATGAAATACCTCATAACAGTATTCAAAACAAAACCGCATCGTAAATCACTCTTAAAGTTAATTTGGTCTCGATGCCACCCTATTTGGACCCAAATGACTAAATATGGCAAAGTATAACATCAATTATGATCCATTTTGATCCAGTTCAACACCTATTTAATCCCACTTGACCGGGTTCGACCCCCACATGACCTCAGCTGACCCCATTTCCCTTGCAGGCGATCCTGGTGTCAAGGTCGTGCTGTTCTCCGCTCCGCCTCGACAACAACTGCAAGACCTTTCACTCAGTCAGGGCCCAGAACCTGTGCTCCCTGGAGTCTAAAGCTTCCTCAGAGTTCTCGGTGTACTCCAGCTCCTCCGGCTCCGCTGAGACGCGCCACAAGTCTGTTTTGGTGCAGGTGGGGAACCCTGTGTGTGTGTGTGTGTGTGTGTGTGTGTGTGTGTGTGTGTGTGTGTGTGTGTGTGTGTGTGTGTGTGTGTGTGTGTGTGTGTGTGTGATAACAGTGAACAAAGCACTACATAGATTCGATAGTGTATAACATAGATATACACCCAGAAAAACACCTACATACACATACACTCACAAATAATTTCGTTTGTGAAGAGTTGTAAACAGTTGGAGCAATCTGAGTGAGAAATGAGTGGATACCAAAGCCATGAGAAGTTTCAAGGCGTGATATGAGAGTGGTGGAGAGAGGTGGTGATCATCCCGTAACTACACCTTGGTCATTACACACACGGCAACCCAGTAGATAGGATCATCTAATATGGAAACTTATTCCCCATGCAAACATATAAATTGTGACACTAGCTCTCCACATATGTCAGTTGCTTAATTTAGAACCTGTACTTGAGGTCGATCTCGAACCCATTGTTGATGTGACGACTTATATTGAATTTTGTAACTAGCTCATCAAGATTGTAACTTGCTTAGCTAAATGAATTGTGGGGTTCAGTCCCTGAGCCCATTATGTGCCTCTGTAACCCTTTCCACTACCGCCCACAAGATGGGTATGGGGTGCATAATAAATGAACTAACTAACCATGGAAACAATACCAAACATGGAGAGAGTATTGTGGTGTTTCCATAAGTCCCGCTGCGGAGTGAGAATAGCTTGAGCTACCTCATCCCTTTGTGTGTATTTGTACCTCAATAAACTTATTTCAATTCAATTCACAGGTGCCGGTGGAGAGCCGCGGCGCCCGGGCGGTGGTGTCGACCACAGCAGCAGCAGAGAGGAAGAGGCCCGTGGTGACACAGCGCTCCAAGACCTCCATGGTCCTCTACCGTCAGTGTATCATCAACAACCTCACCAACGGCGCTGCCTCCTCCTCCTCCAATACACCTACCACAATCACCACCACCACGGCCGCCACCACCACCACTGCCACACAAGTCAACGGGTGTACCACACTCGTATGAGAGGCTCACGAGTCTAACAACCAACTTTGGGACTGAGGGTACAGAAACGGCTCTTAAGAGCATAGCAGATCAACGTTTTCTAGCTGTGGCAGAACTTGAATATCAACGGGAGTCTTGATATAAGCCTTCATGCAGACAGGGGCGAAGCTTGTCTCAAAGCTCAAATTATAATACATCAACTTGAGACGAGACTGGCAGGAGCCTGGTTGATACCTGGCTGATGGGGTTCTGGGAGTTCTTCTACTGCTCAAGCCCGGCCCGAGGCCAGGCTTGACTTCAGGCTTGACTTGTGAGAGTTTAGTCCACCAGGCTGTTGCTTGGAGCGGCCCGCAGGCCCACATACCTACCACAACCCAGTTCAACAGTCAACAACCACTCGTACTGTGTACACAAGAGTGACATCTGGACGTTTATTGAATCGTGGGAAGTGTCCTACGGCCGAGCTCATCACCTTGGCATCACTCTCACTGCCTCAACACGGAAAACATTTCTGCAGCAACAGGCAACAGAGTTAAAGTTTCTGAGGTAAATGTGTATACAGTACTTTAAGGTCACCAGTGAGGACTAATATTGTATATATCACAGATTTCCTGACAACTTTATATATTATTGGTTCATACGAACTTATTTTGTATAAAGTCACAGACATAAACGTGTTCTTATTGGTGCAGAACCACGAAGAGTTCCTCAGGAGAGGAACGTCATTGACTTAAGGTGGGATCAGGAGTCTGTAATCAGGAGTCTGTGATCAGGAGTCTGTGATCAGAGGCCTGTGATCAGAGGCCTGTAATCAGGAGTCTGTGATCAGAGGCCTGTAATCAGGAGTCTGTGATCAGAGGCCTGTAATCAGGAGTCTGTGATCAGAGGCCTGTAGTCAGGAGTCTGTGATCAGAGGCCTGTGATCAGGAGTCTGTGATCAGAGGCCTGTAATAATGGGCCTGACTCGGGACTACTATCACCAATGAGAGGCCTTGGGTGGTCGAGCTTAACCCTCAGTTCTGCTACAAGTTTCAGGTAATTTCTGACTTGCCTTAATACCAGACATCTAGAGTTTGTGTGATGATAAAACAATTCTATTAGGCTCATTACTGTTAGATAGGAGTGTCGTTATACTTATAATGACGTGACAGAGATCATTTCCATTTAAGGAAGTCACTGGAGGATATATTTCTTCGGGGGCAGATGTGACGAGTGAATTAGCTGAGTGGTATTCTCTTGAGTGAGAAAAGTAGGTTGGTAGATGCCTAGACATTGATCAAAATAGAGAAGCAGAAGCAGAGTTTTTTGACGCAACAAACAACAGAGTCTTGCTGGACAATGGAATTAATTTAAGATTTTCTTTTGGAGAAATCGAGAAAATACATGAAAAAATTATAGGTATAGATTATTAATATGTCGAAAGGTCATAAACCAGTGAACAGTATTGAAATGCTATGGAAACAAATCCCGTGTGTTTGGGAGTACTGTTCTCACACTTGCTACTGCGATACGGAGACCCCAAGCTCAACACATGTAGATGTTCCACTGAACCTATATGAAGTTTAGCACTTACCAAAACTGGAGCCCACAAGCTACTTTCTCATGTGAATCAATCATGCACTACAGATTCTGTAGACATGGTCAGGAAAGACATTTTGTCCCATTGTTACCAAAAACATAACGCAAGAGCACCTTACGTAAAACGTACATATGGCTACCAGCTTGTATAACGTGCACTATATAAGTTTAGTAGAACTCTTTCGGTTTGTGTTACGCTTAGAGAGAGAGAGAGAGAGAGAGACAGGTCACACAATCACTAATATAGCTTACACTCAACCTTACCCATCATTGTATAGTACGATGCAGGGCGTGACTTTGTATAACTATTATCTGGTGTAATCATCAGTATCTCACCGGTGTAGAGGCCATGCACAAGCCTTACCACTGACTGGTAATCCACTGCTCAGTCTCTACACACCCTCGCACAAACTTCATATACAAATATATGAAAGACTGATTAGTAGCCAAACATAGAAACGGTGCAAGTTCATATAATTTCATGTTATATATATATATATATATATATATATATATATATATATATATATATATATATATATATATATATATATATATATATATGGAGATTCACATTACCATGGGTAATAATATTTATTTATGTTGGGAACTTTGGGGCACTGAACATCCTGGCCTGTATGGTAGAGGAAGGGCTTCATACCCTACAGGCTCGAGATCAATCCCCCGGAGAGCCAAGAATTTGGAGTGTGAGTTTACTTGTACACAGCTGCTGCTGTGTACGATATAATATACAGATATGTTAAGTGTACCATCGAGTGTCACCCCACTTCCCTAGTGCTCCTTCTCAGAATCCATACATAAGTAGTGTAGTTCTAAGCATTACATACTTTGCAAATGTAATTCCTATATAAGTATTACGTATATTTTTTGAGTTATAATGTGTGAAATTACAGCGGGTTATACACTTCTAGCATACATTAGGTTATACATTAAGCCTTCTCCCATTACTATTAAAATTCCATTTTCTTTCAGTTATGTATTTTCGATGGACTTTGCATTTGCATTCCTTTAAGTAATCTCATTTACTAATATTTGCTTCACAAATTAAATTAATGGCGTTATTTCGGCGTCTTTCACGATGTGCCAAGCAGACATACATTGTGTACGGTTTTGCTGTACAAAAGTGTACAAGGGAACACCAATCTTATCCTCCCAGAGTCAAGGTTTCAATAAACTGTTCATATTGAAGGCTTTATTTGATAAAAGTATTCAATTTGTACGCTTGTATCCCCAGCGTACAAATACAACACAGTTAGTGTGATGAAAAGCTGTGGTATCTTCAGCTCTGTCATATTTTGGCAATTTATAATTCCTTAACTAATTTCTTTAATGCTAATATTTTGGTATTCCAAGCTAACTTCTATTATGAATACACATAATAAAAGTAGGCCTGTTTATTGCTCAGAAAAAAATATACAGTATACATAACATTGAAAATATATACATACTATTCAAGATGTATTCATAACATTGAAAATATATACATACTATTCAAGATGTTTACATAACATTGAAAATATATACATACTATTCAAGATGTTTACATAACATTGAAAATATATACATACTATTCAAGATGTTTACATAACATTGAAAATATATACATACTGTTCAAGATGTATACATAACATTGAGAATGTATACATAATTATGATTATTCACCTAAGGGTATTGACAACGCTCTCAGCCGTCAACCGTGTTTTAATACAATATAAAACACCCATAAACCCAAGAAGAATCATTAAGGAGTAAATCTTCAAGCAAAAATATAATTAAAAAACATCTGGAGATATTCACAAAACTTCTCTTTGTATTTAGTGCTTTATTACTTATATATTTGCTAATTCATCTTTATTGATTAATTTATCTACTTGCTTCACTTATTCTATTTTCAATTTTTTTTTCTTTTTTTTCTTCGGTTTTCCTTTTTTTCAATTGTTTTTATGTATTTATTTTAGGTTTTCTATCTATTTTATTGGGTTATATATGTATCTGCTTCGTAATCTATATATTTGCTTCTGTTACCTATATGTTTAATGTCTTTTAGTTACTCTGCCTCAAGCCTTCAGGTGCGACAAAGTCTGGTTAATTAGGGCATAATGTGGGCCATTAGCGCCACGTCTGACGCGGGACTCTTGTCGCCAGAGTTACTTAAGAGCCCAACGTAACGCCCTGCCACAGACAGCTCGCCAGTGGAGTTGAAAACCTACCTAACTATCCATTCTAACCTAACCTAACCTAACCTTTATCTATCCTAACCTAACTTTATCCATCCTCTCCTAACCTAACCTTATCCTTCCTAACCTTATCCATCCTGTCCTAACCTAACCCTATCCATCCTATCCTAACCTAACCTTACCCATGCTAACCTAACCTTATCCATCCTATCCTAACCTAACCTTATCCATGCTAACCTAACCTTATCCTTCCTAACCTAACCTTATCCATGCTAACCTAACCTTATCCATCCTAACCTAACCTTATCCATCCTAACCTAACCTAACCTTATCCTTGCTAACCTAACCTTATCCATGCTAACCTAACCTTATCCATCCTAACCTAACCTTATCCATGCTAACCTAACCTTATCCATCCTAACCTAACCTTATCCATGCTAACCTAACCTTATCCATCCTAACCTAACCTTATCCATCCTATCCTAACCATATCCATACTAACCCAATCTAACCGAACCGAACTTAACCTTGCTCATCTGAGCCTAACACAGCCTAAAACCTGACGTCCTAACCTAATAATATTTGCTACTTTAATAAACAGAAAACGAGCACTGTCGATACGTCTTGTGTATTAAGTAACCATATTTATTACTTTATTATTATTATTATTATTATTATTATTGTACTTCGTGACGGGTGCCTAATGTGGGTGTTGTAAAATTGTCTAGATATTATAACAAGCTTACAAACCAATGGTAATTATTCATGTTGATCTTAATGCAATTTTGCTAGGCTTTGTTGGGGGAGACTGAGCTTACCAAAATGATTCATATTCATAGTTTTAAGATTGTGTGTGTGTGTATGTATTGGCGGGGAGGGGGGTATGTTTGTGTTATCTGGATATGTGGTTGGTGGGTTGTCATGTGGCTTGCTATCTTGCTCACGTCTGTATGGGTGTAGTGACAACGATACACATACATGAAAGTATTCCAGCTCTGTGGTAAGTTATGGAATGGGAGAGGAGAGAGAGAGACACAGAGAAAGAGAATGGAAAATGAGAGGAAGAGAGAAAGATTAATAAACTACCACAGAGCGAGAGAAACCCTATAGTGTACTGTACGACAAACACAGGGCGGACATTCAAGCACTCGCATCAATAATTATTTTATTGCAATTGTAAACAGTTTAAGATACACACACACCTAAGTTGACCCCACATTCGCACTGACGCTCACAAACTTCAAATGACTCATTCACTCTGATATAAATGCTGACATATACTTACGTTAATACACACACTTGCACGATCACAATAACACACCCAAATACACAATGACACTAACACAAACACTCAAACTGACACACTATAACATACATTCACACTGACACACTCACGCTAGTCACATTGACTCACAAATACACCTTAACATACGCTCGCACTCCTCCACCGATACACTTTCACCTACTCTCACCCTAACATACACTCACATTCCTCCAGTGACACATATTGACCCTAACATATACTCACACTTCACTGACACACACCCTGACACACATTCACCACTTATACTCACCCTAACACACACTCACCCTTACATACACTCACACTCCACTCACACTCATCTGAACACATAATAAATCTAAAACTGTTCATAAACACAGTTGCTACACATCAGCAGCTGTACATTATTATGTTCTTCAAAGTTGTTCATCACAGATGCTGTTCACAGATGTTCTTCAAAAATGTTCGGCAAAGATGTCCTTCACAGCTATATATCTTAATAACACACTACATGTTAATGTTGAGTATTATTGTTAATCTACGAGGGGATATATCTTAATAAACATTACATATTGAAATGTTTGTCGACCTAAACACTATGTTATAAATGCCTTGAGGTGTGTGTGTGTGTGTGTGTGTGTGTGTGTGTGTGTGTGTGTGTGTGTGTGTGTGTGTGTGTGTGTGTGTGTGTGTGTGTGTGTGTGTGTGTGTGTGTGCTATGCCTACATTTGTCTTATACGAGTTGGATATACTGAATATAATTGTAATGTCCACTACAGTGCTCTTGTCAAATTGATATTACTTTTTGTGCAACACACACACAAACACACACACACACACACACACACACACACACACACACACACACACACACATATATATATATATATATATATATATATATATATATATATATATATATATATATATATATATATATATATATATTTTATTAAATATGACCGAAAAAGTAAGATTAATAATTCTAACACGAATTTTCTCAATCTTTCGTACATTATGCTTCACTGTTGGAGGTAAATCAAAAATCACTTCTCCAAAATTCATTTTTTATTTCTAGTCTGACGCGACACGGGCGCGTTTCGTAAAACTTATTACATTTTCAAAGACTTCACAAATACACAACTTTCTCTTTCTTCTTTGAAGTCTTTGAAAATGTAATAAGTTTTACGAAACGCGCCCGTGTCGCGTCAGACTAGAAATAAAAAATGAATTTTGGAGAAGTGATTTTTGATTTACCTCCAACAGTGAAGCATAATGTACGAAAGATTGAGAAAATTCGTGTTAGAATTATTAATCTTACTTTTTCGGTCATATTTAATAAAATATGTCTACAGGAAAGACTGCTACCAAAATATACTAATATATATATATATATATATATATATATATATATATATATATATATTTATATATATATATATATATATATATATATATATATATATATATATATATATATATATATATATATATATATATATATATGCTTTAACTGTTCTGAATAAAAATCCAAAATTAAAATGTCATTTTATTTCCATATACTTTGCAATACATAATATAAGCATGCTTAATATTATTATAATATATATATATATATATATATATATATATATATATATATATATATATATATATATATATAATACCTCTATATATGAATCTAACATATTCTGTATGTATAAACTGGCTGCTTGTCTTCCAAGACAATGAATTGTTAATTATTATTATTATTATTATTATTATTATTATTATTATTATTATTATTATTATTATAACAGCATTAATATGAGCCGTAAATGCCAAAATGCTATTGAATTTCAAAATCCAGCTCGACAAAATCATAAAGACAAATGGTGGAGACATTCAATAAGCCGCCGGCTTCCTGTCCTCGTCGAGGCCACTACAGAGATAGTGATTGATTGATTGATGAAGATTAAGCCACCCAAAAGGTGGCACGGGCATGAATAGTCCGTAAGTGGTGGCCTTTTTGAGCCATTACCAGTATCAAGAG